CGGACACCATGTACCTCCAGTGATCTTTGTTACTCCTTCAATAATTTTGCCTTCCTCTTCTACTTGCCCTGAGTTACGGATTACTCACACGTCGCACCACACAAAACTATCGTGTTTCACGCCCTGTCAGTGGAATGGCCACGATTAGGTCGAAGAATTGGAATTACCTAGCGAGAAAAAATCATGCGGACTTCCTAAGTGTGCGGACCAACTCGCAGCAAAGGATATGCCCTGGCAATCTAGCATGGCCGTCCCGCACCCCTATTGACGGCGGCACACCCACTCGCCACAGGTCTCGCTGGCCGCTTAGCAGAGAGGTTAGCCTTAGGAATTAGCGAGCAAACAAGGGGTCTCATTTCTCTGGATCTAGGCCATTTCTCATGACATTTCTTTCGGCTCCACTGACCAACCACCTTAGTTCTAATGTTCTGCCCTTCAATCTAGTAATCCTTTAATCCTCTTTAATCTAGTATACTGGTATACAGTATACTAGTATCGGCTGACTTTGTTCGATCCCCTTTATAGTGGAACAAACTTCCAGGTGATTTAAACTCGCTCAGTAACCAATTGTCTGAATCTGATAGACTGCCCGCCTGCGCCCCTCCCAAGTCGCCGTTTTATGAACAAGACGGGGGTGGCGAGCCGGAGTTGGAAGAAGCGCCGCTCGTTTAAAGATTTACCCCCTCCACCTTCAAGATGAATTGATCACACTCCACTGGATCAAAATCCTTCGTTTCCAACCGGGATTGAAGAGCAGCTTCGACTTTTTAGCATTCCGAACGGCAAAACCAGAACAATTCCATGGAAACATAGTGAAATGTTCCAGCTCAAGCCCTTCTTAAGCTGGACGCGAAGACGGGTGTTTGGGAACGATGAGCAAGGACTTTCTTCTACCGAGGCAGAAACGTTTCAGAAGTAATCTGCCGTGATATGTTCATCGATAGCGGCATTTTGCTGATGCGTGAAAAGTTTGCGGATGCGCGCCATGCGCAAAAAAATCCTTTTTACGTAGCCCTGTAGGGTTAGGAAGGCATCTTGTCTTAGTAAATGGATGTGGAGCGCTTTCTCACCTTATTAATTGCGCATAATGATTCCAAAATCTCCAGAAATGCCCGGCACTCTTGTGGATCCACCTTTTCCTTCACCAAACACCGTACCGCTGACAGCATGACTGTGACGAAGCGATTGAAATGTCGTACAGGGAGTTTCACCCACCATTTTTCTGGAACATCTCAAATTACTATCAAAGGCATCATATGAACACACATGCCGACCAATCCAAGGATCTGAGATTCCACGCACTCGACTTCTATCCAGAACCGTCGAAGCATAAACGATGACTAGCTCCTTACCTAATGAATTCCGGAAACGCTGGTCGAAGCTTCGATATTGACTCAGCAAACGGCAAGTGTAGTCGGGTTACCGTGTCTTTCGTCACATTCGTTGCGAAACCATGAAACCATACTAATATCAAATATACCCGAAGAGCTTCTACTGATGCCATCGCCGAGGGATTGAAGTCGTCCGCAAAGACAGACATGTTCAAAGTCTCAATGATCTAAATGCCATATGATCCTTTTTGGTTGCTAAAAATGACCGCCTATGAGACGTACCAATTCGGCATACTGACGGGCATCAGATGAATCACCGAGAGCACCGAATGTCTCCATCACGTCATCCAAATTCACTCCACAAACTTTTTCTCCATGCAGAAAATGTCGCTCGTCTTCAAACAAAAATGAACCATTTATACAGTTTACCGACGATAAAACAGATTCGAGGAGTCTGAAATCGGAAACGATACATAGCTGAATTCACTCGAATGACTACTTTCTTCTTCACTTCCTAACAATTCATGCGTTTTAGCGTATCAAAAGTCGCAGTGAGCTAATTTCGACCTTGCTAACGGCTAAGGATGGGCTAATGAGCCCCTAACAGCCACTTGCCAGACTCAATAGAATACGTAACTGCTACATGGTACGTAGTGGGGAAGGGAGGGGGGAGGGGAGAGGGGGAGGTAGCCTAGCGATCAAAGGCACTGCTTACCATGCATATGTCTGGGATTGAATCCTAGATCGTACGACGCCTTGTCTGTGAGTCTTTCTTCCCTCTTGGGTCGCTCAGTTGGTATCAGACTTGTCCGCGAGGACAAGAACTGGCACTGACTCGTACATCAGCTGGCCCCGTAAGTCATTGTGGGGCCAAATCACATTTAAAGCGCCACCACGACCCTAAAGTAGAACGCGTGGCGCATCTCAAAAAGGGATCGACCAACGACGAATGCTTTATCTTTTATAAGTTTATTCAACCCTTGGATTTACTAGTCGCACATACAGCCCGCTCAGAAGTACTGCCATTTGGAAGCTCTAAATTTCCCAAATGCTACGAAAAAAGCAAATACTAAAGCAACAAACCCAATTAAATCGAGCTTCTCATGTCGAGCAAGTAGATCGAGCACTTTAGCCTTGTCGAGAAAAACTGGAGTTTTCAAAGGGCAATTCGGCCCGGCAGTCATTATCTGCAATTCGGCAGCAGTTGCTTGATATGTACATCTTGCAAATGGAAAATGTAGAAGCGTTGAAAAATCTTTGAAAATGTTATCGTCAGAAATGGATTGCGAGATTGAGAGTCGACTTTGAGTAAAAAAGGATGCGGGCCACCGGTGAGCCAGTGAATTCAGGACTAGAACTATCCGATCTGCTAAAGTTAAATGAAAGAAGCGACCTAATCGCTTAGACCGTGTTCATACCTTCAAGGAGAATTGGAGTAGGTAGAATCCTCAAACAAAAAGCAAGGATGCAGAACATTAAGGCGGCCTTAAGGTCAGTCCCGTTTACGTTCACCGTGCACGCTCACTTTTAGCATTTCACTATTTTTAAATAGGGAGTTCAGAAAAACTCACAGGCGTATCAACAGATCGTAAAATGAAGGTCTGGTCGAATCCAGCGAATACGGCTTCAACATGATCGAGTTCATCCGTTTGCCGAGGGAGCGGCTGATTCATCGCAGAACCGTTACCCAACTGCCCATTGGCATTCTGGCCGAAAGGGTACAACCGTCCACCAATCACTACCAACGAGTGGTTTCTACAAATAATTTTTCAGAATCTAAGCTTAACAAGTAACAATCCAAAAAATCTGAAACTCTAGTTCAAGAAAATATTTTTGAGGATCTGCTGAAAAAATCGTAAATTGAGGAATCAGGCAGGGTCACTTGGACATTTCAACCACTGTTCCCACCTCAGAAAAGCCATAGGTGATCACTGAACATGAATGAATGAGTAATTATGTGAAAAAACCAAGCACAGCCAAACGTTACTAACACAAAAACTATTAGAGTTTGAATATTCACTGGTCTCGAGGGGAGGGATACGCTGTCTCCATGATCTCTATGATCGCGCTATCTTTCGATCTATAACTAGCTACCCTAGCTCGGCCAACCAACACCTCATCAGTTTGATAGGAATTCCCTCTATATCAAGCGCGTAGGTAGATTGGCAAGGCAAAGACAGGCGTCGGTTGAGAGGAACACATCCGTGGCTGATCAGAACAGTTCTAAGGGCTCGACTCTCACGGCCAGTATTAGGTAATTCAGAAGGCAGCAGGATTGATCCACCACTAATCCATGCACATCTGAATAAAGGCGACGTCCCAACAGCGTCCGCTAAGCACCACCCGAATTTTTTAATCAGATTTTTAAGAGTTGGTCGGTCCTTGGAATAAATGATTTATGAGAACTTTAGATGTATAGAACCAAACTCATCACCGACCTTCCACAGGCTACTCGAGTCACTGTACTTCCCATTAATTCTGCTACTGCTGCAGGGTTCGTGTGCTTGTCAAACCTGAGAATAAACATGTGCAAGCTTTTGAAGTGTTTTTTGAAAGAAAGGCTAATTACTTCTTCTTCTACATGTAAAAAAATGACGTGATTCAAATAGCGGCTTTGTGGACTTATCTCCATACGATGATCGACAGATTTCTCTTGACCTTTGGGGAATGTTGACTCTTTGTTTATTGCCAAAAATTCAGCACATCTTTGAAGAAGTTTTGTTTCCACATGCGCGGGGATGAAACAACTTGATGGAAA